AAACAAAGAAAAATAACATGATCATCTTGACAGACACAGAAAAGCCATTGGTAAAATCCAGTACTTTTTCCTGGTAAAAACTCAACAAGGTGGGAATAGAAGGGAAGTTCCTCAACCTGATTAAAGGCATCTATGAAAATCTAAGAGCCAATGTTATACTCAGTGGAGAAGGACTAAAAGCCTTCCACTTGAGAATGAGAACAACTCAAGGATGCCTGCTATCTCTTCTATTCAGTATTGGATTAGAAGTCCTAGCCAGAGCAAAAGCAAGGAAAAGAAATAAAAGGTACTAAATGGAAAAGCGGGAGCTCTGGTAGCATAGTGGCTAAAGCACTTGACTGCTCACCAGAAGGCTGGCGGTTCAAACCCACCAGCCACTCCTCGGAAGGAAGGTTGGGCAATCCTACTTCCGTAGTGATACTGCCTCGGAAACCCAAGGAGGGGTCGCTATGAGTCGGGGCCGACTCAACGGCACATAACAACAACAACAACAAATGGAAAAGCAAGAAGTAAAACTATATATAGAAAATACCAAGGAGTACACAAGAAAACTTTTATAACTAATACAATTCAGCAAAATTGCAGGATACGAGATGAACACAGACAAATCAGTTGCATTTCTCTACCCCAGTAATGAAAAATCTGAAAAGGAATCAAGAAAACAATTTCAATTACAGTAGAATCTAAAAGAATACAATGCCTAGTAATAAGCCGAGCCAAGAATGTAAAGGATTTATACATTGAAAGTTATAGAACTACTGGTGCAAGAGACTAAAAACAGATGTAAATAAGTGGAAAGACATTCTGTGCTCATTGATTGGAATACTTGATATTGTGAAAATGTCGGTACTACCCAAAGCCACATGTAGATTTAGTCCTATCCTGATCAAAATTCCAATAGCATTTTTTACAGAAATGGAAAAACTGTCTTGCTGTAGCAGAAATACTACAAGTAGGTGCTTTAATAAACAAATTTATTTGTTTGCCTTCAAGGAGACCAGAAGTCCAAATTCAGGACACCAGCTGTAGAGGAAAGGTTTTTCTCTCTGTCTCTGCTATGGGAAAGATCTTTCTCTTTTCAGCTGTGTTTCTCATTTCCTTGGTGATCTTCATGTGACTTGGCATCTGTCTTCCCTCATCTGTGCTTGCTTCTCCACTTGCTTAAGATGCAACTTAACACTGATACTGTCCTGTTAATGTAACAAATGGGAGTATAACCACTATAGGGATTAGGATTTACAACACATAAATGGAGGGGAGTGGGGGACAATGGGGGACAGACAATTCAATCCATAATGTTCCACCCTTTGGTCTTCTCATGTGCAAAACACATTTCATCCTTCACATCATCCCAAAAGTCTTAATTCAACTCTTAAGTCTAAAACCTCATTTTCAATCTACATCAGTTATGGGTGAGACTTTAGGTATATATTCATCCTGGGACAAAATTTCTCTTCATGTGAACCTCTGAAATATAGAATACAATTAATCTGCTTCCAAAGTATAAGGGTGGAACAGTCATGAAGTCGACATTTCCATTACAGATGGGAGAAACTGCAGGGAAAAAGGAATAATGAACACCAAACAAGTCCACAACCCAGAACAAACTACAATAGTTCTCAAGACTTGAAAATAACCCTCTGTTCTCTGGGCAGTGGCCCTGCTTTCTATATTCTGGATGGAAGTTCCTCAGCCCTGGGTTTTAGCTCTGCTATCCAGACCCACTGGGATGCCAATTCTGTTCCCTCAGCTTTGGGCAACCGCATTTTCCTAGTCCACGTGAGTGACAACCTCAGCCCTAGCAGGCCCCATTCTTCTGCCCTTTGAGCATGGCAGTTCCACCCCCTCAGCTTTAGGTGGTGGCCCCATCCTCAACACACCTGAAAAGTAGGGCAGCCCCATACTCTGAAACTAAGTTGATGGAGATCTGACTCTTTGAAACCTAAGAGATCCTTTGAAACCAAGACTGTGTTCCTTCCCATGGTCCTTTAAATATTTCTGCAGATCTCCAAACTTCTCCAAGGATGGTCCTTTTCTTTTCTCAGAACACAACAGATGTAGCTCCTTTTACCTGTTTCCTGCCTATAGAATTCCAAAAGGCGGGCAACTGCATCCTTCCATCCTGTCTCTATCCTCTTCAGTCTAGGCTAATGGGATTTCTGCTGTGGTAGTTGGTTAGATGCATCAATCACAGGTTTAATCCCTTTAACAAAAGATTGTGTAGCCAAGTCCTTGGTGAAAATTTTAGAACATTTGTCCTTAGTATTTGTACAGTAGAATTTTCAAATCTTTAAGTTCTATATTAGTTTTGCACAGTTCGTTGTTAAGTCCTTCTCTCTTTCTCTTGCATTTTACCATATGCAGCAAGAAAAAATCATGCTGCCCCTTTAAGATCTTGCTTAGCAATCTCTTCATCCAAATATCCAAGGTTATCGCTTAACAAGCTCTATCTTTCACCTAGCGTTTGAACACAGTTCAGACATGTCCTTTGTCCCTGCATAAAAAGTGTCATCCTTCCTCCATTGTCCAATCACGTGTTCATCATTTCCTTTTAAACCTCATCAGAACCACATTTTAATGTCCACATTGTACCAACATTCTGTTGGTGGCACGATATATATTCTCTAAGATAATAGAGACTTCTTTCTAGCTCTCCTCCCTTCCTTCTGAGCACTCACCAGAATTGCTTTTGATGTCTATAATTCTACCAACAGTCTTTTAAAGGCAATCTACGTTTTTATTGTTAGGCACCTTAAAACTCTTCCACCCTCCATCCATTACCCAATTCAGACACCATTTCCACATTTTAGATAAGTACTCCACTCTCAATAATCTAGTGCTGCTATAACGGAAATACCACAAGCGGGTGGTTTTAGCAAACATTTATTTTCTAACAGTTTAGAAGGCTAGATGCGAATTCAGGGCACCAGCAGTAAAAAGGAGGATTTTTCTCTCTGTTGCCTATGGGGGAAGATCCTTCTTTTTTTAGGCTTCTGTTACACAGTTCCTTGGTAGTCTTCATGTGGCTTGACATCTATCTACTCTCATCTCGGCTTTCTTCTCCACTAGCTTAATCTGCTCTTTTATATCTCAAAAGAGGTTGAGTTAAGACACACCCTACACGAATGCTGTTCCATTAACATAACAAAGAATACCTATTCCCAAATGGGATTATAGGAGCTCTGGTAGCATAGTGGTTAAAGCATTTGACTGTCTCCAAAACCCAAGGAGGGGTCGCTAGGAGTCGGGGCGACTCGATGGCAAATAACAAACTAACCAAAAGGTCAGCAGTTTGAGTGAGCCAGCTGTTCTGCATGTGCAAGATGAGGCAGTCTGCTTTGGTAACCCTATGGAGCAGTTAAACTATGTCCTAAAGGATCATAGGAGCTCTGGTAGCATAGTGGCTAAAGCACTTGACTGCTAACCAGAAGGCTGGCGGTTCAAACCCACCAGCCACTCCTCGGAAGGAAGGTTGATCCTGCTTCTGTAGTGATACTGCCTCGGAAACCCAAGGAGGAGTCGCTATGAGTCGGGGGCGACTCGACGGCACATAACAACAACAACAAAAGGATCATAATGTAAAGTAAAACCCTTAATGAGATAGATTGGCACAGTGCATGCAACAATGGTCTTAAACATAGGAATGATTTTGAAGATGGCGCATGACTGGGCAGTGTTGTGTTCCATCAGAAATGGGGTCACTGTGAGTTGGAACCACTCGGTAGCAAGTAACAACAACATTGTTTCTTTGGCAATGCAATTTCTTTAAAAACTTGGAGCTTCATAGGCCTTCTGACCGATTTACTCTTGTCAGTTCTATCAGCCTGTAACCTCAGAGTTCTTTCTGAAACATTGTTTGTAGGACTCCTTTATTTCCTTAGTTTCTCACCTCTCATCTCAAATTCATGGAGGCTATCTTGAAGCCATTTGCTACAGTAATTTTAGGTGGGAAAGCAACATTCTTAATCTGATCTTTTACCTCAAGGCTGAGTATATTTGTTTAACTGAGACGTTTTACTGGCCTTTGTTCTTTGACTTTTTAGGCTTATCTTCTGGACTAGAGGCAGCTGGGTCTTCGAACTCTACGAAACTCTTATTTCCCAATTCCATTCCATTGCTTTGAAAACCAGCTAGTTGTTGCCTGAGCTCATCTCTTTCTTATCCTGCCTTGCCAAATGCATCAGTGTTAACAGCAACACCTACTAACATTTGACTTTTTCCAGCCACTTCTTCTAGAGTTTGGGAGTCCCTTGGGCTACCTTCTAAATTATTTCATGCTGCACTTTTACCTAATGTTTTGCCAAGGCATAATAGGGTTTCAAACAGTCGAGTTTGCTGTGCCATTTCCTTACTGTCTGATGCCTCAGGACCCCAAAGCTAATCCTACAGAGTATCCATTCCATTTATGTGACTGCCAGTAGCATAGACAAGCAACATGTAATGGCTCAGCATAAGAGAAGTGTATTTCTCACTCACATAGCTGTTAAAGCCTTATGAGGGCTTTTAAGTCAGCACATTAGCTTCCTTCCAAGTGGTCAGTCAGAGCCCCAGGCTGCTTCTGTACTGTGGTTCTGCCATCCACTAGGTTCTCACCATCATCTGAATTTATCCAGCAGTAGGGAAAAGTCCACAGAAGGACATTCATCAGAGTCTTATGGATTAGTCTGGATGTGGCCCTATCTCTTCTGTTCACTTCCTATTAGTTACAACTCAGTTGCATGGCTATACCTCATTACAAGGAAACACGAGAAACAGTCTGTGTGCACGAGAAATGGAGGAGAATGAGTTTTGGTGATGACTCCAGTCCCTGCCACAATTGTTGATACCAGGAAAAATATATAAGTAATAGATTAGTTTTGGGTGCTACAAAGGTAGGTAATCAGTATTTTTAATCTAATTTTTTGTGTTAGGATGAATCTATGAATTTTTCTTTTCAATTTTTTCTCACAAAAAATAATACATATTTATATAAGTATGTTCTGTTGTCTTTCTTCTTTCAGTCAACAAAACGGAATATTCCAATGCTCTTTGTTCGGGGAGATGGTGTTGTACTTGTTGCACCTCCACTGAGAGTTGGCTGAAAAAGTTTATCCTGTGTGGAAAAGAGGAGACTGTACAATTGCCTCTCTAATGTAGAATATTTTGAAAAGAGAAACCTGCACAAATTGTGATATTCAGAAGTAACCAAGGACTCTTCCACTCCTGAAGTGAGTTGATTTGCAGAAAACTTGCAAGTTCTTAAGCTGTGGCATTTTTGTTTTTCTCCAACACATCCAATAAATGTAATCACGAAAATGCAGAACTCTTTTTGCAAATAATTTGACTTTTTTCTTTTTTTTTAATTAAATCTGATATTTTCCCTTTGTTTATATGCTGTCTCTTGTGAATTATTTAAGTACATTCACTCAATACACAGTTACTCTGTGAGGCTCCAGATTGAGTGCAGGGAACTGTAGTTTTGTCAGTAAGCTTCCTGTCCTCAAGATTCCTGGGGAGGGAATTGTTTAAACCATCAGTTACAGGACACTGAGATCAGTCCTGCTGTAATAATTCATATAAGATGCCGTGAAAACACAGAGGAGTACCCAAAGCAGATCAGAGTGTGTGGATGCATGGACAGTTGTGCTAGTAGTAATATGTCACTGTAAACATTAACATTTGTAGTAGGGGATGAAGGCCTGGCTTGATTTCATTCTAAGGTCAGGCTGGAATGGTTATATACCTGTGTGGTTCAGCTTGATCACACCCAGTGCTGCACTTTTATGATTCAAAGAAACCATTTTCCCTTTTCTTATTTGTATTGCTTACAGTATATCTCAGTGGCATCATAAAGCAAAGCAGCTAAAGCAAAGCTATTTTTACTTCTAGCTTCTGTCAGCCAGCAGTTAATGTCTGAAAAGTAAAAAGGAAAAGATACTTGTGTGTTGCAGTCTCTAAACCTAATCAAGACAAGGCTTGGAACTTGATGTTCTCCATTAAGTAGGGCGTACCATTTTGAAGCCAGAAGGGACAACAGAGCAGAGCAGCAGTCAGAAATCCAGTTAAGGGGAGTGACCCAGGCCCCACCCCCACCAGTCAGGAAAGGGGGGGAAAATAGAAGCCAGAGGGAAGGACAGAGTAGAGCAGCAGCCAGGGATCCAGGTTAGGGGAGGGACCCAGGCCCCACCCTCACCAGCCAGGAAAGTCGGGAAAATAGAAGCCAGGGTGAGGACAGAGCAGAGCAGCAGCCAGGGATCCAGGTAAGGGGAGGCCGGAGAGGTTTTGAACAGCTAAGCAAGACTTGTCTCTCAGTTGGTCATACTCCTGTGGCTTTCGTGTTGCAATGAAGCTTAAGTCTGTGCTACTGGTGTTTCAAGTGCTGGCAGGGTTGCACGTGGTACACAAGTTTCAATGCATCTTACAGACTGAGACAGACTAGGAAGAAGGAAGAGGCCATCCACTTCTCAAAGAATTAACCAGGGAAAACCTTATGAATAGCAGAGAAACACTGACGGATACATTACTGTGCAACTTCATGAATAGCCCAGAAACATTATGTGATACAGTGCAGAAGAACAAGTCTCTTAGGTCAGAAGGCTTTCAAAATACGACTAGGAAAGAGTTGCATCATCAAAGTAGGACCAGCCTTACTGATACGGATAAAGCTTTCAAGACCCCCATTTGCTGACGTGATACAACCCAAATTAAACAGCTGCAAACATCCATTAATAATAGGAACATGGAATGTATGAAGTATGAATCTAGGAAAATTGGAAGTTGTCAAAAATAAAATGGAACACATAAAGATGGATATCCTAGGCATTAGTAAGCTGAAATGGACTGGTTTTGACCATTTTGAACCAGATAACCATATGATCTACTATGCCAGGAATGACAGTTTGAAAAGGAATGGCATGGCGTTAATCATCACAAAGGATGTGTCAAGATCTGTCCTGAAGTACAATGCTGTCAGTGATAGGATACTATCCATATGCCTACAAGAAAGACCAGTTAATACGGCTATTCAAATTTATGCACCAACTACCAAAGCCAAAGATTAGGAAATTGAAGATTTTTATCAACTTCTGCAGTCTGAAATTAACCAAACATGCAATCAAGATGTGCTAGTTATCACTGGTGACTGGAATGCAAAAGGTGGAAACAATCACCAGTGAAAATTTGGCCTTGGTGACAGAAATAATGCTGGAGATAGCATGATAGAATTTTGTGAGACCAATGACTTATTCATTGCAAATACCTTTTTTCAACAACACAAATGGCAGCTATATACCTGGACTTTGCCAGATGAAGTACACAGAAATCAGGTTGACTATATCTGTGGCAAGAGACAATGGAAAAGCTCAATATCTTCAGCCAAAACAAGGCCAGGAGCTGATTGTGCAACAGACCATCAGTTGCTCATATGCAAGTTCAACTTGAAGACAATTAAAACGAGTCCACAAGACCCAAAGTATAATCTTGAATATATCCTTCCTGAATTTAGAGAACATCTAAGGAATAGATTTGATGAATTGAACACCAGTGACCAAAAACCAGAATTGTGGGATGACAACAAGAACATCATCCATGAAGAAAGCAAGAGATCATTAAAAAGACGAGAAAAGAAGAAAAGACCAAAATGGATGTCAGAACAGACTCTGAAACTTGCCCTTGAACGGAGAATAGCTAAAGCAAATGGAAGAAATAACAAGATCAAAGAGCTGAACAGAAGATTTCAAAGAGCAGCTCAAGCACACAAAGACAATTACTATAATGAAATGTGCAAAGACCTGGAGTTTGAAAACCAAAATGGGAAGAACACACTCGGCATGTCTCAAGCTGGAAGAACTGATGAAAAAATTTAAGCCTCGTCTTGCAATATTGAAAGATACTATGCGCAAAATATTGAATGATGCAGGAAGCATCAAAAGAAGATGAAAGGAATACAGTCTCTGTACCAAAAAAAAAAAAAAAAAAACCCTGGTCTATCTTCATCCATTTCAGGAGGTGGCATGTGATCAAGAACCA